GTTGTGTGTGTGTAAACAAAGAGAAAATAAAATCAACTAAACTCAATATGAACACTAGCTTAATAAAATGATAATCAAACAATATAAAATGTAAAGCTAGATTGAGTTTAGAAAACTTCTCAATAGATCAAGAGTGGAAGGAGAAGAGTTGGATGCTCAAACACCAATAGATGATCTCCTAAAGCTCTTGTGAAATTGATTTCACAAACTCAAACTCTCAAATGCTTAAAAACTTCTTAAACAAACTTAAACAACACTTAAATCCTTGTTAAAACTCTTGTTTAAAAAACTTCTTGGATTGCGTCTGGTAGAAGGGGTTTGAGAGGTTTATATAGGAAGAGAAACCAACAGCAAAAACCCTCAACCAAATCTCTCCAAAATCCAGAAAAAGATTTTTCAGATTATGTACAAAAAGAGCCGTTGGGCATACGACGGTCGACCGTGGAAAACTCGCGGTCGACCGCGAGCCATATTTGAAACTGAGAAAATTCCAGAAACTTTTACGGTCAACCGTGACGGTCGACCGTGGGAATTTTCGGACTAACGGTCGACCGTGGCGGGGGACCGCGAAAATCTCTGCTGGCTCCTGAGGGAAAAACATAGGCGCGGTCGACCGCAAATTGATATATGAAAGTGACAGTTTGAAAACAGTTTTTTTGATTTAAAACCCTATTTAAAAATATCAAATAAATTCTAAAAAATATAAAACTTTGGAAAATGATTGTAGACATGATAATACACATGCTACAAAAACTGGTTTTCAGAAAGGACCTCCCAAATAAAAAATATCATTATTTTACAAAATAATCCAAAACATGAAAATGTGAACATATGAGTTTTGACATTTTAGCTTAACCGTGTTTTGAAATAGTACAAAATGATTTTGAAGAAAGATGTATACTATTGTTATGAAGTCTATAAACAATGAATATAGTATTTTATAAAAATACACATATAATGCACTAATACATGATTTCATTGAACTAAATAAAATTGGTATTGATGAAATCATATATATGCATATAAGTATGAAATAAGAAATGTATTTTTAATTGTATTCAATTGTTTCATAGTAAAACTTGAAAACTATCAAACCAAAACATATATGTATATATATAACTATATATATACAAAACCAAAACGTGTATGTGTGTGTGAGATTGAGCTTAGAGTATCTAACACACATAATATAAAAACCTAAACTAAATATACCCAAGCTTGATCTTGATCTTCAACGAAGCTCTATATTGGTACACTTGGGGTTGAAGCTGGAACTTGAATCTTTAACTTGAATGCGTAGGCTTCATATCACAATTCCGCCAACCTCCATTGGATATGATCGTGAATGCGCAATTCCATCCATCCTCCAACTCGTTGTTGGATATGATCGTGAATGCGCAATTCCATCCATCCTCCAACTCGTTGTTTGCCTAGAATAAATACGAAAATACAAACACTAGACAAACAACATTAGAAGTAAATTATTTGTTAAACATCATCAAAACAAGAAGGGCAACACTCTCATCAACATCGTGGATTAGTAAGGGGAGAAAGTTCTTTGGGGTCTAGAAATTTTGGGTTTTCTAGATAATTTCATCTATTTTGTAAACTTTTGTTCTTGTTTTGTTTTATATTTATACATAGAAAATAATGAGTATGAGATGATAACTTATTTTGTTAAATGACTTGATATAGCCATATAATGAGGCCCACCCAAAAAGTCATATCCAAAAGTATGAAACTCACACTTCTTTCTTTAGGGGCTGTTTGTTTGGCCCTTGTTGGTTTCCTAAAAACCAAGAAATGATTTCCATGTACTTTTTGTATTAAAAATATTATTATAATCTATTTCCATCCCTAAAACTCATCCCAATAAGGGGCTGTTTGTTTTACTAAAAAAAGAGGGAAATCAAAGAAATGGAAAACTATTAAAATGAAGAATTGGTTTGGGAGTGTTTGGTTGGCTAAAAAAAGAAGGAAATCAAAAAAATAGAGATGAAATAATGTTAGTTGTCAAATTATTATTGGATGATGTGAGTGATTTTTTAAGAAAACTAGTTTTGATGTTGTTTGGTTGGCGAAAAAAATAAGGAAATAAATTATAAGAAACTTATTTCCTGTAGTTTTGTTGTTTTCTTTTGTTTGGTTCATTCTTAAAAATAAGAAATGAAATGAGATGAGGTGAGTTGTCATTGTATTATTGGGTGATGTGAAGAAAGATTAAGAAAAGTGTTTTCATAACTTTTTGGGATGAAAATAGAGAAATAAAATGTTAATGAGATGAGGTGAATTGTTATAATATTTTATTGGATGATGTGAGTGATTTGAAATGATGAAAAGAGATGAGTTGAGTGATGTTTGGATGAAAATAATATTTTTATTAGATGTGGTGGATGAGTTGTTAGATGAAAATAATATTTTATTAGATGTGGTGGATGAGTGGTTAGATGGAAATAATATTTTATTAGATGATGTGGATGAGTTGTTGGATGAAAATAATATTTTATTAGATGTTGTGGGTGAGTTTTAGGGATGAAAATGGAGGAAATAGTATTTTTTTGAGATTTTCATGTTTTCCATTTCCATTTCTTGGTTATCTTGGTTTTTAGGAAACCAAACAAACAGCCCCTAAAAAGAAATGTATACACTTTTATCAATAAAATATTATTTTTATCCACCAACTCATCACATCTCATATCCTTTCTCACTTTTAAAAATAAACCAAACACAAGAAATGAGTCACATCATCCAACTCATCTCCTCTCATATTTAAAAGAAATGAGTCACATCATCCAACTCATCTCCTCTCATATTTAAAAATCACTCACATCATCCAATAATATGGTGACAACTCATCTCATCTCATTAACTCACTCACATCATCCAATAATATGGTGACAACTCATCTCATCTCATTAACATTTCATTTCCACCCATTTTCTCAAAAGAAAAAAAGAAATTGATTTCCTTAAGTGTGGGTCACATCATCCAATAATATACAAACAACTCATCTCATCTCATCTATTTTCTTATTTTTAAAAATGAACCAAACACAAGAAAGAAATTATTATATGACATAGGTTTCTTATAATACATTTCTTTATTTTTTTAACCAACCAAACAACCTCAAAACAAGTTTTCTTAAAAAACCACTCACATCATCCAATAATATGATGACAACTCATCTTATCTCATTTCTTATTCTTTGATTTCCTTCTTTTTTTTAACCAACCAAACAACCATAATACAAAAAATCATATTCTTTGATTTCCTAGTTTTTATTGTGAAACGAACAGCCCCTTAGTATCTAGTATAACAACTGAGCCGCACCTCATAACTAATAAATCCTTATATATAACATATAACTTATTAGCTGGGGAATCTCTTATTGTTTTTTGGCTAAAAAAATTCTAATAGCTAATTAGCGGGTTTAAAATAATTTACTTTAATAAAGAGTGTAAAATAATATACATTAGATTTTATATGTTAATCATACACATATTTAAACAATTATTATCTAATATTATTAGATTAGATTATTTTATATTTTATTTTAGTTATAATTGATTGATAATTAACCAAGTAAAATTTTACACCGGAGTTCATAACTAGAATTTTTCGTTACTAAAATTTAGTGTTTATCACAAAAGACTTAAAGGCTCTGTTTGGCAAAACTAGCTGAAAGCTGCGAGATTATAGCTGAAAGCTGTCAAGCTAGCTGAAAGCTGTGAGCTGAAAGCTGATAGCTGTGTAGCTAGCTGATTAACTAGAGCTGTTTGGCAAAAGAAGCTGTACAACTAGCTTAAATTTGTTAAAAGACTAAAAATGTCATGCACTATTATTGATATAAAATTAGAATTATTAGGGGTAAAAACAGAAAAAAAATTTGACAGCTCCTTCCCAAAGACAAACGCTACTTGAGATAGCTTTCCAAAAGCTACTTGCAAAAGACACAATCTCCAAAATAATCTCCTCATATTTTTGGTCACCAAACATCTCTACTAGCTTATTGACCAAGTCAATAAGACACAAGCTCTTAGATAAGACACTTTTTTTGGTTGCCAAACAGTGCCAAACAGTCTCGAAGTTTACATTAATTTTTTTTAAATATAATGGAAGACTAAAATTTTGAATAATATTTAGATTATTTTTTATTTCAATACGAAATTAGTACGAGAACCGTCAAAATTGTGTGTGTTTTTTTGGATAAATGAAGTTTCAAACGTTTTTCGACTTATGATTACAATGATATAGGCCTAAAATTGCATTTAAATACCCTATATTTTCACTTGATTTGCACATGTATACCCAAGTATATTTGGCTGCACTCAAATAATCTAAAGTTTCCAAAAGTTTCAATTTCATACCCTTTTATTCTGCAAACGTGAGAATTTTCTTTCAAAAATTCTCAAACGACACTCACATGGTAGTTTCAGAATGCTTTAACTCTTAATCTTTGTTAAATTTATTATTAAAACTAGCAAAACCCGATTTAAAATAGAATTATGGTAGATTCAAAATTGGATTTTGATAGATTTAACAATAGATTTAACAAAAAGCAAGGGTAAAAATATTCTTAAATTAGTTTGTGAGCACCACGTGAGAATTTTCAGGGGAACTCTCATTTGCAAAACCGAGGGTATGAAAGTGCAACTTCAGAAACTTCGGTGTTTTTAAGCGGCCAAATAGAACTAGGGTATATATGTGCAAGGCATGTGAAACTATAGGGCATTTAAGTTCAAATTAATTAAGCCTAAGATTTAAGACGATGGGCGACAGGGAAACTTCACGCACATTAGGCTAGGCTGCTCAGCCCAAAAACCAGCACCGTCACCCTCCTGAACACTACCCCCCCCCCCCGCCCAACCCACCCACCAGCACACCCCGGCCGTCATGGATCATCCGCTATTATGAAATCTTTGGAAGACGATGAGTCGACTCTCCGAAACCCTAGCTTCAATCCAAAAATTTTCCACCTATTATCTGCTGAGGCGTTCAATTTGCAGGACGAGAGCATGCCTCGGGGCGGACGTGGAGGCGCTGTCGCGGTCCCTCCATCGGACATTGGAGGGGATTCTTCCACTTTCTCGCAGCTCTCGGATTCTGAGTCCGGTAAAGATCCCTCCTTTTTCCTGTTTAGATCAATCAGACCTTTCTCTTTTTTATTTTTTAATTTTACGAGTCCCTGTTATTATTTAAGTTAATTTGCAGCTGTATGAAGGAACACCCTCCCTCTCGTCTGGAGCAGTTAAGCTACAAAATGTAGGACGACAGTTTGTTGGGATTGTCTCTTTTCTATATTTTGCATTTGGTTGATTATTGTGGTGGCTTTGTGTCCACAACTTGTGTCCAATTACGAAAGTTTCATCACCGGAATACTTACGGGCTTGAGCCACATGAACGGAGTTAGCCAGCTATGTGAAAATAGGGCGATGCGAGAGAGGTGAGAGATAAGGGAGATTAGAGTTTCCCTTGTACCCTGCTTCTTTTCACATAGGGCCTGCTTGTTCCGTGCGATTTTGGCACAAATATGTGCATAGTTGGTCAGAAGCGGGTAAGGTGCAGATCTTTTGTCAGAATGAAAATCTTGTGATCAAATTTAGTGTTTGGTTTTGAAGATTTGGGAGATGGAGCAAGACATGCCAGGTAGCATAGAATGCAATCATTATAGTGGTCATAAATTTTAACAAAATGGAGGGATTTCTACTATTGTCAGTCCCACTACCTCTTAAAAGTACAAAACAATTCGTTAAAAATCCCCCAAAAAAGATTAAAGAATTCAATAAAACTTAAAACTTCAAAATAGCCCCCCCTTTTTTTTGCCATATACCATAATTTATTATTAAAATCAATCATTGGTGGGTCTCACAAATTCTTTGCAATTTTATCACTTATTTTAGAAACAAACAAGAATTTGTAGATTCTCTCTACAAAACTAAGACTATCCTAAAAAGCAATAATTTTTTTAACATTTGTTAAAGATTTCATGGATTTTTAACATTGTCATAAATCCAGGATACAAATCCAACACTCAAGCAGCCCCATGTGATTTTATCTTGGGTGCCATGTGGATTTAGGTCTGACTTGATCAACCCAGCCACATCATATTGTATCCTTCTTGATTGTGCTACCTTATGTGCTCAAGTATTTGAAGGAGATGTCAATCCCAAACAAAGTGATTGAAGAGGGGCATATGGTAATGACCGTACGTCTAAATTTTAATGGGGATTAGTTTAAGTGATCCTTTACCAAATTATTAAATAGGTGTTAAACTCTCGGTGAATAACCTCTATCCTACCCGTACAAAAGAGATAGAAAGAGAGAAATTACAAGAAAGAAAGTGGAGAAGAGCAAAAATTCTGAGATGCAACTAAAAGAAAGTTAAGAAAAAAGAAAACTGTCACTAACCCTCTTCAACATGTTCCCTAACAAAACACCCCTCTTTGACATGCAAACTAACTATAGTGCTCAGAACTCATGTAGCTTCGGTATTGTTCCGATACTAGGTAAAAAGGGACTTCTAGTTTTATACTATCCAAATGAGGCAGTTTGTTTTATTCTACTAGAGAAAAGTTTATAATTGGAGCAAAAATGATTGTGGCATCCATTGTTCTGGCAGTGAAATCTTGTAATGAAAAGCTAATTAAGAGAGAATAGATATTTTCAGCTTTCGGGGCTTTGACAGTTAGGGATCAGGGGCATCATGTCCTCATAATTCATAAAAAAATGTAAACAAATTCAATAAATGTCAAACAATAGTACAACTACACAAGAAAGATAGTTGACTTCATTTACAGTGTTCAATACTCTAATGAAGATAACAATATCATGATTAGTTAGTTATAGTTTCCCTTATCAGTGTGCATCTTTACAAAAATATTGATTGCTCATTTTATTTTCAGTACTATGAAATATTTACTTTACAAAATTACCATTCATCTATTGTGCTCTTGCCTTTCCTCCCCTAGAGTTTACAATTTATTGCAAAACAAGTAAGTGAATGTTGCACTTGCCACTTGGTAGTATTAAAAGTTTCATCCTAGTGAGGATCCCACACTGATGGACTTGTTCATATTAGCCAACATTTCAAGCAACTTGCTAACACATTAAAAGCTAAAAGTTCCATATCTTGTCCTTTGTTGGATTGCAATGTCTTTGATTAACCCTCTTTTAAAATGAGTAAATGACTTCTTGTTTTCAATGTGATCCACATCCCGTTGCCTTCTTGAATTCAAGAGGGGAAAGTTTACTTATTCTCTACAATATCTCACTCGGAAACAATATAATATATTGTATGAATGTCTAATGTAAGATCTTAGTAGCAAGGAAACCTAAATTTACTGTAATTTAGCATTTTATCAAGGATTGCTATTAATGTTGGAAGAAATGTTTACATTTTGAATTTATGGTTGCAAGGGAATATACAAAGGTTTACAGACTACCATGGTATCAACTATCAAGCTTATTGCACTACAGTAGACTTTTGTTAGAGTATTTTGAGGCTTCGAGCAAAGAGTAGGAGAAAATATTGTGGCCATGACTGAAATCCATTGTGAGCTAAGCGATTAATTTTTGAGCCTGCAAAGAGGTTTTTTAAAATTCCTTTTTTATGGGTTTTTTTTTTTTTTTTTTTTTTGGGGGGGGGGGGGGGAGAGAGGATTTTTTGGTTTCCATAGAATAAATGAAACTAGAGATATCATCCGAAAAGTTAACTGTAAACCAAATTTCGTATTAAGGGTTAAATGGAAATTTGTTATCATTTTATCCATTATTACATGTAAAATAAATAAATAATACTATTAGAAATAATTAAAGAGTCAATTCAAGAACTTATTAGGAATATAACGTAGAACAACTATGTTAAGATAGATGTTATTACTGCTTATCTTTTGTTGAAGATTAATGAATTTTCCTATAATTTCTATTCTAGCGTGGCCATGTAAATTTTTTGCTTTCCTTTACTAGAGCCAACATCTCGACATCTATACTATATACTAAAGTTAGGCCCTAGATTGCCACTTGGCAACTTGTGGTTACTATGACATTTTAATTTTATTTTTTTAACTTTTTCCTTTTTATTTTTCTAAAACTAACTCCTCAACTTCCGAAAATGTAATTAATAAGTAACTAATAACTCAGATTTTGTAAATCCTTAAGCGAGAATCAGTCCTATTGACATTAACTATTCATTTTCCCTCTTTATTATGTATGATATGCAAATTATGTATTATATGTAGGACAAATGTTCCAAAAAAATTGTATGTTTTAATCTCTCACATTCTCTCTATCACAATCTCAAATCTCTTCATCTCCACCACCTTAATTGAAGCTCATTCAAATTCTTTAACCTCACACATTTAACTATCTTTTAATTCCCTCAATTTAACACCTATTCTTTCCATCAATTTCATTAATCATATGAACCCTTTCATATCCAGCCTCATAACCCCCTCCCTGTATTATATACAAAATAACATCATTTTCATCCAATAGGCCTCTTGCAACATGCTTCATCTGTTCGTTGAAAGTAATTTTATTTGAAGCTCTATTATATATTTTCATACTTGGAAAGCAAGTTCGTTTCACTTGCATTTTAATGTGTGATTAGTTATTGTTCATCTTAGTTGTTCTTCTATTTAGGCAGTACCCTAAAATTCACTTGATTTTTTTATTTTAGTTTGTGCTCATTTTTAAATTTAGAAACTTTTTTTTGGGGAATCTGCAGTTTGAAGGTAATATTCTAAATATTAATTCATTTTTGCTTTCTTTATAATATGATGATTTACTATTTCATTTCTAGATTATTGTCATGTATGTTGATTTTAAGTCAATTCTTTGAAATTAAAAATCTTTTGGGAAAAATTATAAGTTAAATTTTTTTTATAACCCAACTCAAAATCAAACCCAAGACCACAGGAGCATTGGAATCTCCTAATCGTCCGTATCACCCATGCAATTTTTAAGTTAATTAAATATTACTATAAATAACTACTACCTGTTTAAGTTGACTTTTTTTGGGAAATGTTTTCTTCTTTGATAGTTATAGTTTTAGGATAACTTATTATTGTATTTTTCAATAGCCAATAGCCTATGGGTTCTTTTATGACACTCATTTTATCTATTTTATCTTAACAATAAAAAATATTGTTTCTTTTCAATGAACAATTACATATGTCGAATCAACTTCTTTTAAATTAAAAAGATATACCATTAATCTCACAGCACCACGCAGGTATAACACTAGTTGCATAATACTGTTGGGTTTCCTCTTGAAGAGCCAATATCTAGTAGTTTGTGCCATTACGTCTATTTGTTGAAGGGTCAAACACTTGTGTTGTGGTTGCCCCCTTCCATCTCGTAACAAATGACTCTATCACACATCAAAAACACACATAACAAATGACTCTAACACGCATCTAAATCAAAGAAGTTAATTTGCAAACTATAGTGTTAAGATTTTCTTCCTTTAGCAAGACTCTGATAATAGAGTTGCACTTGCGTTAATCGTCAAAAGATGGTATTTTGGAATGTTAAGAACTTAATGCCACTAGAACGAAACAAAATTTAAGTACTCGGCATAAACTAATTTCCTCCCTCTTTCTCCCACCCCCTTCCTTCTCTTTCCTTTTAATTATTTCCGTTCTTACCAACCTTGAGTGCCTACTGTATTATATCTCCACCCTTAGTTGTAGATATATTTTCGTAGGTGAGTAACTAACAATGACAATGAGTGTTAGGAACTATAATTGGAGATGCAGTTGGTGCGTGCTACTAATTTAATGTCTATAATATAGTAATGAACTAATTATTATAGTTGTTTTTCCTAATTCTGTAATTTCAAAAAACCAGTCATAGTTTGAGTCCTTCAATTTTCTAGTATGTTGTACAAAAAATAAAAAATTCTTATCCAAAACATTTTCAAAATCAGAAATATGTTCAGACATGTTTTTCAACTGGAACTTTTTAATTAGATGTGGATAATTGTTGAATTGAGATAAATTTTGAAAGTCAAATATTTTAGTGGGATAATGGTGGATAATTTTGTTGAAGTGGGATATATGGGTAAAATGATGGGAGATAATTTAGAATAATAAGTGTATAATTTATGTATT